AAAAAAAAAAAAAAAGTTGGTGGCGGGGGTGGGGGGAGGAGGCAGAAGGCGGGGGCTAGGGGGAGGAAAGCAGGAAGGAAGTTGTGAGCCCGTCTGGGGTTGAACTCAGCGGAACAAGTTTTTCTTTTCTTTTTTTTTTTTTTTTTTTTTTTTTTTTTTTTTTGAAAAAGAGTGGGTGTGTAAAACTTAAAAAAAAAAAAGTTTCCATTTTTAGCAAACAAAAAAAAAAAAAAAAAAAAAAAGCCTTTTGACTTCTGCTGGTTAAAGATATACGATTCATTTTCCACCCCTCTCTCAAGGCTTGCTGATGGCTAGCTTTATGAAACTACTTTTGAAAAAAATGTTTTTTAATAAAGTATTGAGTGTGTGATCTAAACAAAGCAGCTCCTGAGGACTTTTTGGCATTTAAAATGGACTAAAAGCTTGTCAAAACGGTTTGTGTTCTTGTACACAAAATATGCAAATGTAAAGAAGGTACTTTGTGGGCACCTCCTTGCAAAGTTGCAGATTTTAAGTGCACCACAGTAGTATTTTGGAAGATTGGTTGGGCTGTGAACTGTACAGGCTTTGCAGTGCAATTGTTAGAGGTGTAAACTCGCCTTTTTGTTGCACTTTTATCTATAGATGCACACAGTAAATGGGATATTTGCATACTTTTGCACTTTAATTCTCAAGGTTATTTTAAGAAAAAGCATAGTCCTGGAATTAAGCAGACCTAAGCAATGTCTGAAAACCCCTTGAACAGTCTGTTATAGGACTGAATTATTTTCAAGAGATCTCTCCCCCACCATCAGCCGGAGGGGAAGGAACTGCCAGCCAACATTACTGGGAAGGGTATCCAACCCTGATTAGGCCCTGGCACTGCAAGTGTGTTTTGCATAATTCCTTAAATCTTAAACTACAGCATTTAGTGGAAACAGGGAAACACAGCTGCAAGGAGATTTAAAAATCCAAAGCCTGAATCGGTCCTTATATTCTGATTAACTAAAATTCAGATGGAAATTTTGACTTTGCTTGAAGCAAACAGATCTGCTACTTGTTTATGTAACAATGCTGTTTAAGTGAGCAAAGCAACCTGCTGCTCAATCAGGAAAAGATTCATGGCAATGCTGAAACCATGAAATCTTCTAGCCAAGGATTCTTAGGAAAACAGAGACTGTTGAATCCCTCCTAATTTTTAAAAACATGCCGTGAAAGGATTGAACCTAATTCCCCTCCCACCCTCAGTGGGGCTAAAGAAAAAGCCCTGAGTTTATTTAGGTGTTAACTTAAGATCTGGGAAGTTCCTAAGAGAAGCCTGCCCTATCATTTTTTCCTAATTTTGCTCTCTAATGATAACAAAAAGGAGTTTTCAGATTCCAGGATACCCACTTATTGGAGTTCAGTCTGAGGGACTGTCATCCTACGAGAGGCTAACTTTATACCTATGTCAGGTGTCATGGTAGAAGCAACCGAAGGACCTAGCGACATATACAAGAGGCACAGAAACTTTGCTTCCCAACCCTTGGACAGTTAAATTTCCCAATCATTGTCACCTCACAGTCAGACATCTTCAGGCTTATCTACTTGAAAAACTCAGGCTTCCTGAATGAAGAATTCTTGGTCAGAACAGCCAGCAGCTGTCAGGTGTGACAAGGAATTTCTGCCTTGTATGGAGATAGGACTTGATGGTAATTCTACCAGTCTGAAATTCTAATTGTGCCACCAAGAGCAGCAAGGGATGGGAGAAAGATGGAGCAAAAACCCATGTTTGGAAGCCAGCAGGGTGGGCTTGCATCCTGCAACAGGATGCAAGTTGTCTTCCATGATTTTAAATGAACACAAACATTTTTATATACTGCTTATTATTTGCCAGACACTGTTCTAGGCACACTATCAATATTTGCACATTTTTATTCCCTTAACAATTATCAGGTAGGTATTACTACAAACCTCATTTTACAGAGGAATAAATAAAAGTACAAAGAGGTGAGCCATTTGTCTCCCACATCCTGCAGCTTTGGTACGTGGCAAAACCAGGACTTGAGCGTGTGCAGCCTGGGTCCAGAATCCTTGCTTGTCACAACTTTTCCCTATACTAGTTATCTACAACTGTAGGAAAGTTTTCACTAATGTTTTAGGTTCTCCATGTGCCTACTTTTGGAATGGAATTTTATATATCAAAGCTATGAAATTGAGATTACGTACTTAACTTGTAAAAAGCATCTAGAAAAACCTACAGTCAACATCATACTTAAAAATGAAGGATTAAACACTCTCTAAGATCAGGAACAAGGTTAGAACATCTGCTCTTGCCTCTTTTATTCAACATTGTACTTGAAGTCCTAGCCAGTGTAATCAGAAAAGAAAAAGAGATACAAGGATTCCAAACTGGAAAGGAAGATGTAAAATTGTGTTTAGATGATGTAATTGTCTATACAGAAAATCCCATGAAATCTTAAAAAAAAAACTACTAAAATTAGTAAGTTTAGCAAATGATTTGTTTTTCGAGGGCTGCCATAAGAAAGTAACACACACTGGGTGACTTAAACAACAAAATTTATTTTCTCACAGTTCCAGAGACAGAAAATATGGAGTTAAGGTATTGCTGGGGTTCATATATTTTAAGGCCTCTCTCCCTGGATTTTTTTTTTTTTGTGTGTGTGTGTGGTGCTGGGGATTGAACCCAGGGCCGTGTGCATGTTGAGACACGCATTCAACCAACTGAGCTATATCCCAAATACTCTCCTTGGCTTTTCAGTGACCATTTTTTCCCTGTATCTTCTTATGGCCTTCCTTCTGTACATCTTTACTTCATAACCTCTTCTTTTAGGATACAATCATATTGGATTAGGATCTACGCTGATCATCTCATTTAATCTTAATTGCCATTGTAAAACGCTGTTTCCAAATACAGTCACATTCTGAGGTGCTGGGCATTAGAACTACAACAGCCCATAACAACAAGTTTTCAGGACACAAGATCAATATACCAAAATTAATTCTATGCCTATGTACCAACCATGGAGAGTTAAAAAAAATATTTTAAAATCAACAATACCTTTACAATAACATAAAAACTTTGAAATCCATGTATAGGTTCAACATAATCACAATATCCCAGTAGTTTTTATTTTCTTTTATTTTTTGGTACCGGGTATTGAACTCAGGGGCACTTAACCACATCTCCAGCCCTCTTAAGTATTTACTTTAGAGACAGGGTCTTACTGAGCTGCTTAATGCCTTGCTAAATTGCTGTGGCTGGCTTTGAGCTCCTCCTACCTCAGCCTCCCAAGCCTCTGGGATTACAAGTGTGTGCCACCTGCCTGGCTTGGTTTTATTTTATAAACTTCTTAGAGAAATGCAAAAGATCTAGAGTAGTTAAAACAACATTGAAAAAAAACATAGTGGAAGGGCTAATACTATCTGATGTTAAGACTTACTGTAAAGCTACAATAATCAAGACAATGTAATATTGGTGTAAAGTAGATCAATGGGATAGAGTCCAGAAATAGACATACATGTGAAAAAATTGATTTTTTTTACATAAGTGCAGAAAATGGAGAAATAATTTTTTTAACAAGTGGAGAAAGAATTCATTCTTTTAACAAATGGATGTTCATATGTAAAAACAAAGGAAAAAAATAAATAAAAGAAAAAACTTTTCTTTTGCATATTTTGTATCACGTATAAAAATTAACTCAAAATGTCTCCTCAATCTAAATGTAAAACCATAAAACTTTTATAAAAAAACAAGAGAAAAATCTCTGGAAACTTGGGTTAGACAAGTATTTATTAGAACACAAAAATTAATTGTACTACATGAAAATTTTAAAATTTCCTCCTCAAAAGATACTAAAAAGAGGGGCTGGGGTTGGGTTTGATTCTCAGTACCACATATAAGTAAATAAATAAAATAAAGGTCCATTGGCAACTAAAAAATATTTTTAAAAATATTGAAGAGAATGAAAATGGTCTGTGGGCTTATAGCTCAGTGATAGGTACTTATCCAGAATGCATGAGGTTCTGGGTTCAATTTCCAGACCAAAGAAAGAGAAAAAGAATGAAAAGACAGACCACAGCCTGGGAGAAAATTAATAGTCAAAAACTGTCCATCAAGAAGTGAATGGATAAAGGCTGGGGTTGTGCCTCAGTGGTAGAGCACTTGCCTATCATGTGTGAGGCACTGGGTTTCATTCTCAACACCACATATAAATAAATGAAAAATATAAAGGTCCATCAACAACTAAAAAAAAATATTTTACAAAAAAAAGTGAATGGATAAAAACAATTTGTAGTATAAAAGAAAAGTACTACTGATGTACATACAACATGATGTTGAGTTTCAGAACTCAAAATAATTAAGCTGAGTGAAAGAAATTAAGCTAGAAGAAACTACACCTAAGAGAAACTATCTCCTGTATGATTTCATTAATAAGAAATCCTAGAAAATACAAACTAATCTATAGTAACAGAAAGCAATCTGGTGGCTAGCTGGAAATGAGGGGGTTCCTTGGGGAGGGGCAGAAAATAGGGAAAACAAAGAGGCACAAAAATACTTTTGGAGTTACTGGATATGTTCACTATTCTGATCATAAGGATGATTTCATGAGTATATAAA